TCCAAAAAGGAGAAGGACGCTAATGAAAGAGGTGGATATCCTCTATCCCTTCAGTTTGCAAATTTTCCTTCTGGCTGCCTGGACACTGGAAGAGAACACATAATCGCAGGGCACTTGGCAACCAGTCATAAATGTGAATGTAAGCCAAGCACTTGAAATGCTGCCATGTGTTCAGGACAAAGGCAGCACAACATTTTATAACACCTAGAAATGTTTTATAGACCATAGAACACCCATTCTATGACTGTCATCATTAAACAACCAGTTATAGGTCATAGACTACCTGTAACTGCTCAAATTAAAATGTGATTACTGTATTATTTTAAATATCAACAGTGATCCTTTAGATTCTATTGTATATCCACACAGAATTGGAATTTTACAAGCAGAATTAAATCCTACACATGGATTGACCATATGAAATACCTGGTGTTATATCAGAACTCAACTAAAATTTGTTACTAATGTAAGAAATAATGTTTATCTTAGTTTGACAAGTTTCTGAAAACCTAAATATAGCTGAAGGTCATATTTTAGATTAAAAAACTGAATTTAATAAATTCAGAGAAATTCTTAATAGGATTTAGTGGCTAAATATATTAATAGGAAAAGAAATTCAAGATAAATCAGAGTTCCTATAAAAGAGTTGCTAGACATTACACCCAGGGTACCTTGCTGATGAAATGTCAGAATCTTTATCTTTCATCTTTAAAAAAAATCTTGAAAATGAATAACATGCATGGGAATGAAAGTAGCTATATGTGCTTCAGAAAGATTCTGGGAAATTCAGGCCAGAGAGCCAGATCTGAATACTAGACAAAAAAGTAGTAGTTTGTGTGAGGCACAGGAAATCAGGAACCAGGGTTGTTCAAATGAGTACAAGTTTATTCCATGCTATCACTCTATAAGAATCTGAACTATTAATAGTCAAAGCAAATTGGGGGTAGGTAAAAGTCAATGGAATTCAAGGATGGCTAGGCATAGATCTCTTGTGGGCATGAAGTGACTCCAAATTGATGATGCACTTGAGCCCTCTCTCAGGCTCAGTCTGGTCATCTCCTACAGTTTGTAAAACAGTAAACATCTTTATAATAATGCAGTGTCATAGAATCACAGGGGTGAAAGAAATTTTGTAGGTCTTTTAATCCAACCCCCCACCAAAGGCAAGAATCTTTACACCATTCTGAACAAATGGTTGTTCAATCTCTTTTTGAAAACCTCCAGCGATGGAGCACCCACAACTCCAGTAGACAAGCTCTTCCATTAATTGATTTTTCTCACTGTCAGGAAAGTCCTGCTTATTTCCAGGTTGGATTTCCCTCTGACATGCTTCCACCCATTGTTTCTTGTCCTTCCCTCAGGTGCTTTGGAGAACAAATTGACTCCCTATCTCCTTCAACTATTGGAAGAGAGCTATCATATCACTCCTAAGCCTTGCCTTCATTAGGCTAAACCAGAGGTTGGCAACCATAAACATTCAAAGAGCCACTTGGACCCATTTCCCACAGAAAAGAAAGCATTGGGAGCTGCAAAACTCGCGCACGTGCATGCGCGCACCAGAGGGAAAGGCTTGATTGTAGAGTCTAATTAAAAAGAAAAAGAGGGTGCTGTGCTGTTCTCTCCCTCTCTCTTTTTTCTCTTTCTCTCTTTCTCTCCCTCTCCCTCTCTTTTTCTCTCTCTCTCTTTCTCTCCCTCTCTTTCTCTCTCCCTCTCTCTCTTTTCTCTCTCTCTCCCTCTCTCTCTCTCTTTCTCTCTCTTTCTCTCCCTCTCTTTCTCTCTCTCTCTTTCCTCTCTCTCTCTCTCTCTCTCTCTCTCTCTCTCTCTCTCTCTCTCTCTTTCCTCTCTCTCTCTCTCCCCCCCTCTCTCTCCCTCTCTCTCTCTCCCCTCTCTCTCCCTCTCTCTGATCTTCTGCTCATCTGGCAAGCTGGCTTCACACTGTTCTCCAACTAGCTGACACACATTCTTATTGGGCTGGCTCTCTCCTGCCCTTCCTGCTTCCTGCAGAGATGCAGCCACGGCAGGAGCCCTGCCCAATAAGCTTGTCAGCTCATCAGAGAACAGTGTGAGGCCACTCTCTTTTTTACAGAGAGAGAGAGAGAGAGAGAGAGAGAGAGAGAGAGAGAGAGAGAGAGAGAGAGAGAGAGAGAGAGAGAGAGAGAGAGAGAGAGAGAGAGAGAGAAGGGAAGCGCAAGTGCCTCTCTCTGTCTCTGTCTCTCTCTCTCTCTCTCTGCAAATGGCAGAGGAGGCTGGGAGCCGCAGGAGAAGGCTCAAAGAGCCACATGTGGCTTCGGAGCTGCGGGTTGCCGACCCATGGCCTAAACAAACCTACAGTAATTTTCTTAGCTGTTCATAGTAGGGTTTAGATTACAAACCCCTTATAATTTTAGTTGCATTTTTCTGTACTTTCTCGGGCCTCGGCGTCTTTTTTGTATTGTGGTGACCAGAACTGGACACAGTACTCTAAGCGAGGCCTTACCAGTGCAGTATAAAGCAGTACTATCATGATCTTGATGCTATCCCACTGTTGATGCAGTCTAAGACTGCATTGGCTTTTTTGGCAGCTGCCACACACTGCTGCTCATACTTAAAGCTGTGGTCTACCTGGACACTTAGATCCCTCTCACAGTTGCTACTGATGATCAAGTACTGCCTGTTCTATAAGTATGCATTTGCTTTTTCATGCCTAAGTGCAGGACCTTACTTTTCTCACACTTTCATCTTAGACCCAATGATCAAGTCTGTCAAGATCCTTCTGAATCTTGAGTCTATCTTCCAAAGTGTTAGTAATTCCCCCCAGCTTAGTGTTATCTGCAAATTTGATGAATGCCCCTTCTATCCCCCTACCCAGGTCATTTATGTCAGTAGAATCTAACCTGGAGGTGTTACCTATAATATAGTTCTCAGTGGTTTTTGTTTTTTTTTTAAAAGGTGCCGGAACTCACACACGTCATACAACCCGCCTTGCCTACCCTACGAGGTTCCATCCCAAAAAGGTGCCGGAACTCCGTTCTGAGCATTCTATGAGAAAAAAAGCCCTGATAGTTCTTATCCAGATTCTTTTCATTGGATAATGGACATTCGGGCAGTAGCAAAGTACTTGATTATATTCTATGTGATATTTTGAGTTGCATTCTCATTAAATATGTAACAGATGATAATACACAGCTTCATTATTGTCGAGAAAAATATTCTGAGAATGTTTAGTTGGGGGTTCCTTGTCAAAGCAGAGGGAGATTTCAAATGGGACACCATTTTCTCCTGAGCCTTGCAGTTTTCTGCATTTTCACAAGTGATGTTAATTAAGATGTGGAAGGATTTTTTTTACAGATTTACATATGATATAAAACTTATAACAACATGGCTCCTGATAACTTCATGTAGTCTGCTTGACAATAGGGCAGAAAGAAGTATTTTGCCTTTGCTTTCTTTCAAGATTTTTTTGGGGGAGGGGGGTCTGACTTCCCACTTTTTATACATCTGCTAATTTACAATTGTTCTCTTTATTTCATTTCATTTCATTTTCTAATATAATAATTTTAGGGTACCACAAAAATGTTTTAATGAAGTGTTCATTATTCTCAGTCACATTTCTATCAGCACAATAATTTAGTCATTCCTTTGTTATACAAATGCAATGGGATCCAGTGCATCCAAAATTTTGTTTTCTGTTGAAAAAACTGCAATCTAAAAACAGAACTTTTGATTAAGACGTTCAGACAGTTTTTCATTATTTAGAAAAAATAAGACCTCTGGTTCTTTGTTCTGCCTTTAAATTTTGCGTATCAACTTGACATATTGATTAAAAGTATTAATTGAGACTATTTGTGTGCTTTTTTTCCTCAAGATTTAATGGCCATATCTAATAATGTGTTTGTGATGCTGAAAATGCCATTAGTCCAAATCAAGATGTTAGTAAAAGTGAGCATTATAAATATTGCCAGTAGGTGACAACAAACACATACCCCATAAAAATTACAGAACAGTATACTGAATTTTTGAATATGTTTACTAGCTTGAAAGTAATGCCATTGCATCTGTTATTATTTGCCTTCCTTCAGGCATCCTTATTCTGACCAAGACATGACAGCACTGTTGTATTACCTGAGGATTGTCAAATAAGATCTAATGTATGTAGTATGTTGCAAGAAAGAGCAGAAACTGCTTGATGATAAGATCATTTCCATGCATGATGGAGTTTTTTAAGTGTAGTTAGAGGGTGCTGTAGTTCTGAATTTGTTGGAACTAGAAAGTGACAATCGCTTTTGGATCCTGAAGAATCTATGAATTTAAATCACAGGTCTGCTGGAATCTTTTATGATATCTTACAGTGTGAAATGGTGGGGATTATAGCTAAAGTCGAAATTGCTAGCTCTTATCTTACATTAATTTTATATTAATCATAAGAAAGGGTATTCTGGTGATTTTTTTTTACAAAAGAACAAACACTTCAGTAACTGTAAATCAGAGTTATATAAACTTTGAATTAAGCAGCTGTGTTGAAAGTAACATTAATGCAACCATAATAAACTTATGTAAGTTTCACTGTAACCCAATAGTAGTGATTCTAATGTGCTTCAGGCTGTCATTTGCAATCTGTAGTGCACACCTCTGCAGCTTTATGTATAAATAAGGTTGATTGAGAGTCATTGTTTCTTAATATCTTATATTGCTTGCTAGTGCCATGTCTGATACATGAAAGAATAGCCTGTAATATCAAAGGCTGATGCTGTAGTAACAATAGTTGTTCTCAGCTGGATCAGTTAAGACCAACACCTTTTAGATTCTGTCACCCAAACTAACTTCCTTCAGGCACCCATGATTCTGACTGACTGAATGTTGGCAGACCAGCATTGATCTTGTGGTCCTGAGCAACAGATCCAAGTAAGGGAGTGGAAGAGGAGGTCATCCCTCATGCTGCTGCTATTCTGCTGCTATGCAACCTTGTAGTGTGGAACCCCTTGTCATGATGCCACTGATGAATTTCTTTCTCTCTCTCTTAGGCTAATGGAGGTTGGCAAGATGCTACAACTCCTTCATCGGTGACTTCCCCCACAGAAGGCCCTGGCAGCGTTCACTCTGATACCTCCAACTGATCTCCCAGCAATCCAGTATCCCTGGCTACTCCCACCCTGTACCAGGCAGATGTGGGGGCAGAGAGGGGAGAGGTTTTTCTCCTGTTGATGCCAGCAGGCCAGATTCAGAGCTGACTGGCTCACTCAACAGGAGTTTCCTTCTCTTGTCTCTTTGGGGATACTTTTTCAGCCAGTCTGGACACTTCTTTATACTCTCTTCCCTTTCTTTTCTGGGTAGAATCCACCTTTCCTTTCATCATCACAATTGCCCACTTTCTTACAGCAAAATAATCTGAAGGAAAAAAATATCTGAAAGCATTTGTACTTTTTATGTTGTTGCTGTTGTTGTTGTTATTTTTATCCTAGTGTAAATCTTTAACTCCCTCCAGTCTACCAAGCATCTGATCGCCTCCTCCCATTTCTCTGATGTTCTCACTACCTCTTTTCAGGAGCCATCTAAGCTCTTCCCTTGGCTTTTGGGCACCATCCCTCCTTCATATGAGACAATGATCTGTTCCTCTAAGATCCTGAATCTTTGGTGAGTTGCCTTCCAGAACAATTCCTGTTACAGGTTGGATAAATGCAATCCTGGTGCTGCAAGATATGGCTGTAACATGCCACATGGTTACAAGATAGGAAACTGTTAGCAAAGCTACTCTTTATCATCCCTTCATGTCTCTTATCCTCCCTAGACATGAACCATGCCACTTCTCAATTTCATTGTTCCACACTTTCAGTGGAACTATAATTAGGGCTGTGTGTATCCTTCTTCATGAAGGAAGTGCATAGTTGCTTACTATAATATGACACAAGTGCAGTAAATCTGGGTAGTAAATTATCTTTTCCTAATTTGTTTGGGTTCCACAAATCACATTTTACTGATGCAGAAAAGACTTTCACATTTTCGTTTGAAATGAAAACCATGTAAGAGCAGAACAATAAAGACCTGTGCATGGCACTGTGGTCTTCAGTCTTACACCCTCTGATTTCTCAGCTTTATCTAAACATCATGCACCTGGATGCAAAATCATAAAAGCGTAGGTATTCAGAAAGGGAGGGGCAGTTATGTTCACAATAAAACTGCAGAAATTGCAAAATATCCACAGCTTTCATTATATTTGTAATTTACCAATATCTGTTACACAGAGAAAGAAATCACTGGGAAATTAATTCCAAGCTGCTAGAATATACAACTTGCACTAGTAAGCATTTGGACCTGTGTGGCTTTACATATTATAATTTGATTATGCATCCTTACTAAAATTGTTGTGTTGACCTGATTGGGAAAAAAAATAATAGTTTGACATGTCGCTTCTAAACAAAACTTTTCCCATTAGAAAAAAAAGTAAAATTGAGATGGGGAGAAGATAAATAAAGACTATTGGAAATGAATATTGAAAAATACATATCGGCATGGTAACTTTAAACAATTGCCTGTGCTCAAACACATTTCTCCAGAATAAGATGAATTGGATTGCTCCTAGCCTTGAACCTGAGGACCAATCTCTTTTCAGCAAAGCATGTTCAGGGGAACAACCCAGTGGATTGACTGTGTCCAGTGGTGGGATTCAAATATGTGAACAACCAGTTCTCTGTGTGGATGCCACTTCCGGAAGTCCATTCTGGGCCTGGGCAACAAAAAATTAGCTACCAGTTCTGCCGAAGTGGTGCGAACCGGCTGAATCCCACCATTGACTGTGTCCTCTGCAAGGGGTCTGTATAGAAAGGCATTAAATAAGCTGAGCTGGGCTTAGTGATAACATATGAAAGCATCAGGCATCTATATTTAATAACAGTGGCCATTGGTACATTCTCTGTCCAGGACGATGTTGATATTATAGTGTACTTACACCACACTGTAAGCTTCCATGCCTCTAATCATTATTATTCCTTTTAATAGAAAAAAAGGTTTCCTATTTAGGGTCATTGTAAATTCAGACTAATAAATAATCCAGATTAATTAACACAAATAGCTCTGTTACCCTTACCAAACAATTAGCAATTCTGTCTGGAGGGGATGCTGAGACCCTGATACTTCTTATGAGAAATCCATGGCTCTCTTGGTCCATCTGTTCTTGATAACCTGTATATACCCAGAATTAAATCCAAGTAAATTGAAGGCACTATAGAAAAGCACTAGATTTAGTGGACCAACTAACATTTCATAATTTTATTGTGATAGTTGATTTGAGCAAAGGACTAACTTTTCAAAGCATCCTATCCACCCTCCGAGTGAACCTGCCACAATGATTTCATGTGGGTTTTGGAACTTCCTTAGAAAATGCAATAGCCAGAAGGAGATCTTCCAGTTATTAAGCACATTAGAAAGGGTCCCAGAAGGGACATGAAGCACCTCTGCAGCATGAAGCAACTCAAGGCAAAATGCAGCCACCTCCCACAGACCTAGCATGGCTTTTAAACTAGGATGAAAGGCAAAAGCAAGAAGCAAATATTAGCTAAGAGGTTAAAGACATGACATCTACACAGTCTTTGTAATGAGATGGAAATGAGGAAGGAGATTGCAGAAGTAGATGGAGATGGCTTTTGGTGGGTGGTGTCTTATGGACAAAGAAATACATGCAAAATACAGTTGATCACATCAAAGGTGTATACTTAACTTTAGTACATGAGGGGGAAAATAGCCATAATAGATAGCATTGCCTAGTGCTTGGATGAAATATATATTTGCCAAATAATGTTAGATGCACCAAATCCGGGCCACACAAATCCAGACCACAACAAAGAATTGAAGTTTTTGGTGTCCCTGCTGCTATCTAGTGGTCATGTGTATTCATGCAGCCAAGATGAGTTATCCTTGATGAAGGCCAGTGTGCATGGACTTGAATATTTGTTTAATGTAATTAAGTGTAATGAGGTTAGTTGCAATTAATTACATTGTGTGATCTTTATCTAACATGTCTATTGGCAACTTTCATAGAGACCATTATATTGCTGTGATAAATGAAAATAAGACATAGTCTCCTGGAAAACAGATTTTATTCAACTTACATTTATACATACAGTGTTGTGCAGTGTTATTAATTTCATTTCAAACTATTACCTGGACTGTGCAATTTGCATGGCAGACTACAATTGTCTGGTAGGGAAAAAAGAGATGGAACTGCATTTATCTGCCTGTAACAATATATCTTTCTATTATGGTCCGTCATGGTATGGTACTGAATTTCTTAATGGTACATACACTGGTAGTAATTCTTTGCATATCCAGATTTACTATTTTTATTATGTAGTACTGATATTTTTGCTTAAATGTGAGCTAACTTCTCATGCATTTGGTTCTTATTTTCTGCCCAGAAAAACCCAACTTCGATACCAAAAACAAAAAATTTTAAAAAAACTGCAGAAACTTTAAAAAAAGAATCCTAAAAAAGTTTTAAAAAATTAAAACGTTCAATTCTTTCAGCTTTATTAACATTTTCCATTATTTCTTGCAATTTGTGTCTCGTTCTTTGTAGTATTGATGATAATGAACATTTGATAATGAATGTTCTTGTATATTCAGATAAAGGAAAAACAAACCAAAAAAGCAGTCTGAATTTAATAGTGTTTATAAAAATAAAAAGTTACCCTCATAGCACGCATCAAAGGACAGGCAGTCCCCATCCTGTCCTGTGGCAAAAAAGAGCTTCATACCTGTATAGTTTTTAACACCAAGTTCCCTACATTTGCCTTTCTTTGGTTTACATTTTTAATGCATTTGTGAATTAGTTGAAGAATGGTAGACAAGTGTAGAATTGTGCACATTCATTTCCTGTTACACAATGTTTTAAAAGAAGTGACAGTAATTGGTTTTGTAAAACTTTTAACAATGGTTGGAATAGTGAGCATAATAGGTACACTTAATACTTTGTTTACTAACTTTGAATGCCAGAAGTGACATTTTCATTATGTTCTGCATACATTTTAAAAGGGGGGGGCTTATTTTAGGCCCAATCCACTGGTAAATTCTCCAGCATAAGCCTCCCCTGAAACAAATGGAAGCTGTGCAAGGGCTTTTGCTATGCAGCTCCAGTTTTTTCGACAAGGCATATGCAAGATACTAGACTCATCTCTTTTGCTTTTATCTCCCTCTCTCTCTCTCGCTCTTTTTTTTTTTTTTTTTCAAACTATGGCCTTGAAAACATATTTTCCAATTCCCTTCTTAAATCTTTTATTGCCTTTAAAGTGATGTGAAAAGCTTCTTTAGCAAACAAAAAAGACAAATTATTTTCCTTTAATGTGCTTAGTTTATATAAAATTAACACTCTAGTTTATTGGTCTGATGCCTTCAGGATGTGCTGAGAGTAGATATCCTAGAATTTGCAGTCAGAATAGCCAACATCTCTTGCAGCATACTTGATAGGTAGAAAACTGCCTCTGGCTGAAAATAAGACTTTGAGGGATGAGCAAGGTACTTGAAATGCTCAACTTCCTGAAATTTATCTAACCTGGCTTGCTTGTTAATAATTGTGAACTAAACTTTCTGAGGACTCCCACTTGGGGCTGTCTGGTTGCTTGGTTTTCCTGAACACTTTTGAGAAGGCTAGAGAAGGTCCACAACAACTTTCTCCCTGGAATATGAGAGTAGAGCACTGCTTCTACTGCCCATCATATTGCCATCAGATGATGAGCAGTGTGGGCCAAGATGCAGTAGTTGTACCCTTTTAAGCAAAGATGATTTGACCTTCTGTGGTAGCGCAATAGAATATAGTATTGCAGGCTAACTCTGCCCACTGCCAGGAGTTCCGTTCTGACTGGCTCAAGGTTGACTTAGCCTTCCATCCTTCCAAGGTTGGTAAAATGAGGATCCAGAGTGTTGGAGGCAATATGTTGACTTTGTAAACTACCCAGAGAGTGCTGTAAAGCACTGTGAAGTGGTATATAAATCTAAGTGCTATTGCTACACAGGAAATTATAAGTAGTAGGGTGTAGGGTTACTGTAGCTGGAAGGGTGTAGGATTATTGTTTGCTACTTGCCAAGATGGCAGATGAAACGAGAGGTACTCATTGACAGTTGCCTG